TGACCAAGGGGGATTAATGGGCACTTACAAACAGGGGATGCACAGCAGAAGGATTGCTAATGTTGCTGGCCCCTGCTATGTAAGATCTAAGCTTGGTTAGGTCTTATTTCATGCAGGTATAACACCTCTGTTTGCAGGTGCTTGCAGGTATAACAACCCTGTTTGTTTTATTTTTCAAATACCTTTGGTCGAATGACTTTTTGCTGTGTATTTACCATTTTGAAGCAGGGAGGAGGGTGGAGAGTGCACACCCTGGTTTCGGCTGATAAAATACTCTTAACTTAGAGAGAGGCTGTACCTAAGTTCATAGAGGCTTTAAAGTTTTTTTGCATCCCGTCCCTATAATTTATATACCTTTATCTAGATGAGTCTGTTCCCAACATAATAAAAAAATAAATAAAGCTAATACCTCTGTTCCAGCATCAATGCCAAGTTTTCACTGTACCTCGGTCGTGCCCTACTGACCTCACTGTTACCATTGGATGTACAATATGCACAGAATTGACATTCCCCATATGGGCTGGCTAATGACAAAGCAATGTTGCACCTCCGTCAACAGAAGGGTTTTACTTTGCATATGCAGTGTTTCTGCAATGCATATTATATGGAAAAAGAACATACTTGCATTTATAATGATGTAAATATATTAATCATATTTGGGGCGAGTAAAAGTCAGGAACCACTTTAAAAAACAAACAATAAACCACTGTCCGGATTAATCCCTAAACTTCAATTTTTTGCAAAAGAAATCTGAATCGCCAAAATTGCTGATATGGAAGAATTATCCAAGTCATCCATTTTTGCAAACTGGTTCTGCTTTAGTTTTTGTTTTGACAATCTTTATTTAGTAAATTTTTTGTTTAATATCAAGGACAAACAAAAACCACAAGTTAGTTTGGCCGTCCTGTTTTCATTCATTAAAATTCTATATTAAGTGAGTAACCTGTGTGAGCTGTGATCCCTGACTGTTTACTCCCATTGTGTGATGTTCCATGTATGTAAGTCAAACACTAACTATAAAACAAAATGTTGAACTCACTTTAAATAGCTGCCGTTGTTTGCTTAGACTTGTACTATTATTAGACGTTGATGTCATCCCGTCATGATTCTGCATTTTTAGGAAATACAAACTGTAGTATTACTAGATGCTCGGTTGCCAGTGGCATAGTTACTGTAAATGCTCATTCAGATGTATTGGACACTATGATGTGGTGGTGATCTTATCTTTGATAATGTTTTGGAAATCAACCTCTGCTTATTTTCTTGTATCATTTTTGACAGTCTGACATTGGCTTGAGTCTAGTAGCTTGGAAGAAATTAGAAGTGTGTTGTGATTGTAAATAAACCTGATAGGTTCCAACCCTAGACCAATTTCAGGTTTAGATCTGCATGTAATAGCAAGCGAGGTATGCAGACATTTCTGTGAGGGAGCAATAATTCACTTTGGCGCCCACCCTTCATTCTCACTGTAGTGAATAACCCTGTATGTAAAGTCAGCACTGTTGATGTCCTGTATAAATCCAAACACAGATACAATTGAAAAAGAGACACCATTTAAAGGAACACCATCGCATTCGGAATGCAAAACTGTATTCCTGTTGCTCTACTTTCCCTCTGCCCATCGCTAAATGTCTCCCCCCACAACCCTGTTATTATAACCCTTTAAAAAGTTTTATCTTCTCAGCACCAAGGTCCCTCACCACTGGTTCCAACTCCCCTCCTCCAATGTCACTTCAATGGGAGGACCTAAAGTACATGTGTGGCACATGCGCATTAGGCCTTCCCCATAGGAAAGCATTGTATGAATGCTTTCCTACGGGTGGTCTAAAGATACTAGATGCAAAAAAAACCACATCTTAGTTGATTTTAATTCAGCCAGTGGAGAATTTTATCATGTATTGCTTCTCAAAATGTCCATTTGTCCTTAGGAAACTATTACGTAGCGATCTGCTTTAACCCCTTAAAGACATATGACGTGTGACATGTCATGATTCCCTTTTATTCCAGAAGTTTGGTCCTTAAAGGGTTAAAGGGACACTCCAGTCACCATAAAGCCTTCATGTAAATTAAGTTGTTATGGTGCCAGGAGGTCCCTGGGTGTACTCTTACCTTATGGGGTTAATTCATTCTCGAGCAGTTTAACTCCAAATGTTGCCACCAGTGCTGATCTCCAGGTCCCCGAAGCTGCATGCGGCTTCTGAATCTCGATTACAAGAAGCGTCGGGGAGGGGCACCACTGATTGGTTAGAGTGAATTAGCTCCCCATTGATGAAAAAAAAGGCACTGTGCGAGGGAGACATAGGGGTTTAAACAAAAAGCAAAAATGTACTTTTTGTTTTATGTAATTTGATTTAGGTGTCCAGATGTGTCTTTTAATGTCATTAAACCTTTTATAATTTGTTTGTGATTTATGTTTTTAATTCATTTCCGGTCCTGATTTTCTCTCACCTGGGTGTTTGTGATGCTAGGGACTGCTTTCTCGTTTCTACACATCCTATATGTGTACCTTTTGTAGTACTTATTAGTATTTTATTAGTATTTTTTTATAATTACATTGTATGTAAGTCCCATAAAGAATGAAACCGTGATTGCTATTTACTAAAGCATGAATGGTTGTGAATTTCAAAATTGAGGCCAAGGTAGCTGTGACGAACTGAGCCTCGTCACGTGTTCTTGGAGGGGCCTCTTACTAAAAGACTATGGGCCCTTTAAAAAAACTATATGAACAGACTTGGTTCTTGGAATTTTATATTTGGTTCGGGAACCGAACTGCCGCACGAACCAGTGACCACCCTGGATCTTGTTAAGCATAATTGCTACTTTGTAGCAATTTCCACCTGCAGTGTTCTAAGTGTTCGTCTGGGTGGCCGCAATTCCTATGGACGACCACGAGGTGACAGCCATCTTGTTCGCATGAATGCAGGCATCTGTGTTTGGCCATGAATCTCATGGAACTGAAAATGGACACAGAAACTCCCGAACACCGCTGGACTTCCAGCATCGCCTGCGTTCAGTTCCACAACACTTAGAAAAGCGCTGTTCGGTGGAAACATTCCCACAAACAAGGGGATCAAGCTCCGGGGTAAGACTATTGATTATGTTCGGTAGTTTGTTTGTTTTTAAACTACCGAACTAGACTGACCGCAAGTCCTGATTCTCTGGAACTGTTATGGGCATGGGACCATGCGGGCGGTCGGTCAAAATTAAGACTTCCAGGAAATTCCTGAACCCCTGAACTGATCTGGGTGATTTTTGGATATGTTGGTCACCCAGATCAGGGCTATCAGGGGATGTAACTGTGGGGGTTTTTATATTTTTTTAGGGTACTTTTGGGAAAAATTGTGCTTTTTCTGTGCTTGGAGAAATTGGATTAGATTAGTACAGTTCCTGATCCAATTATCTCCCAGGCACAAAGGAGGATTATCTGATTTTGTATGGGAGTTTCCTGGACCTGGGAGCCAATGTGATTGTGTATTTTATTTCTACTGTGGTTTACTCTCAGGTCCAGAGGGGAGTGCCCCTTGCATGGGGACTGTCATCAAAGGCCAGTTGTGGCTACCATTAAACAAGATTTGTTTTACCCTTCATGAAGTCTATGCTCATGTTTGGGGGATTGGAGAGCTATATTCACTCTGGGGATTGCTATTATCACTATACTCCTTTAGATCACACTTGCTCTTATAAGCTCTTTGGACTAGGAGAGACCTACCCACTGAAAGCTGGATCCTGGTTTTGAGTCCAGGGTGGGTGGAGGACAGCGAGAATCCAACCAAGCTGTGGCGGTTTGTGGGGTTTACGGTGGCTATGGTGTTTCAGTGCAGTGCTTATGGTGCTTGCAAGTACTATGAAGCTGCGATTGACGGAGGTACCCGGTCGGGGTACCAGGCGGTCCGTCACAGTAGCCAAATGGGGAAAATCATGCCAGTCAACTTCTAGTTCAGCAACTTTAAAAATTCTCACTTTAGTAAATAACTCTCATACTTTCCCATACTCTCTCTGCTGAATTAATGGCGATAGGTAGCAGGTGCTGTCTGACAGAAGAACTCACACAAATCTCAGGAAAAGCTAAGCTATATATGGGCCCTTATACCGCAAAGGGATTAAAGGTTTTAAACGTACTGTGTGATATCACCCACAGTGCATTAGAGAATGCGCTAACGTCCCGATCATGATGAGCAATCTCTTTTAGGAAAGTGTCACACAGACACTGAAAGCGTTAAATTAGCAGATGACCAGAACAGGAAATTAACTTTGTCTGTGTCCCCGGGGATGAGTAAGAAAAAAACAAAACCCTAGTTTTTTTCCATGCTGATAACAGACTAATAAAATTTTCATGTTTCATCAGTCAACCGCTGGTCATTTTTTTAGGCTTTAGATAAATATTTAAATTTGAGATCCCATACTTTCAAATTAATATTGCTTATATTTAAACCTTACGTACAAGTCAATATGGTTTCCCCAGCGCAGAGAGTGCTGATTCTCAGCACATTTGTCTGGTTAAATATCAGTTCTACATGGGTTTGACTCCTACTAATCATTTAGTAAATTAAAAAGGTGTGGATTTTGGTCATTGCCAAAGTTACATAGTAAAGTCTGTGTTCCCCGTGCTTGTATAGTACAGTCATATTGTATTATTCTGTATAATTACAAATTGTGCAATAAATTGATCTCCATCACGTAAACACAATTATGTTAAAATCACTTATATGAACTGCTAAATATGTGCTGTCCACAGCCACTTAGTTATTGTTTTCACATTTTCTTTAATTCCGTTAAACGCTTCTTTACAGGAGCCGTTTGTTGCCGATGAATATATTGAACGATTGGCGTGGAGAACTCCAGGGGGAGGGTCTAGGGGAGGACAGGAAACATTTGATCCAAAAAGGTATGTATTAACTTCCTTTCTTTGTTCAGAAATGTCCTGTTTGTTTTGTATTGTTTGTTTTTTTGAGTGGTCTTAAAATGATATTTTGGTACTGTTATTGTGTGTATAACTCTCTCTCTCTCTCTCTCTCTCTCATTTTAGTGTTTTTGATTAACTTTATATTTATTTATTGGGGGCAGGGGGCAGGTAGGGAGGCACTCAGCTTTAATACATAGCATTATTCGCTGATTGCCTCAGCATGTAGTGCAGGGTTTAGCATAGGAGATCTAATAGAGGTGCCTCCTAACTCTCTGGTGTTGGTAGTATAGGCAGGGAGTGGCGCCATGAGGACCTCTGGTAATTATTAAGACCATTGGTGTTTGTACTGCTTGTCTCTATAATACATGTGCACTTATTGGGCCTTTAATCATATCGCTTCTATAATAAGACACCGCATTATTTATGCTTTTATAGACAGCTCTGGGCTTGTTTGTAGCGGCAGTAGTGAAACTGATTTTCTTCTCCGCACTACATTTTGACAACGAAGCTGTCCAAACCGGTTTAGGAATCAGAGGGATCATATTTAATATTGGTATCAGCCAAACCAGAATAATGCATACTTCATAGCTTGGTATCTGCATTGTTATGTATCTTTAAAAATGCTTCAGAAAACATATACTGTTCATCAGACCAACAGTGTTTGTATTTTCCTTTTTCAGTTGTTTTCTTTTCAGATTAGAATTACAGCAAATGGACACTGTATTAATAACAATGCTACATTCCCATAACTATTGCTATTATAAACCATGTAGTAAAACAACAAGAAATTGGCCGTGAACAATAACATGTTTTCGTTTTGCTTATAATGTATATTTATCATGCTTATTCTGGGTGTGTGGGAAAAGAGAGATTGACTCTAATTTAACAAGAATGGTCTCCCATCTTTTTTGGTTTGAGCTTCAGTAATTCTAGAGAATTTATGTCATATTTTCTGCCTTTTTAGACTGTTGGAGGAGTTTGTTAACCACATTGAAGAGCTTAAGTTAATGGATGAAAGGATTCAGAGGAAAGTAGAGAAGCTGGAGAATCAGTGCCAGAAAGAGGCGAAGGAGTTTGCCAAAAAAGTCCAGGAATTGCAGAAGAGCAATCAGGTATGCCATGAACCATATTCTCTAATAACCGGTATGCCATAAACTGTATTCTATGATAACCGGTAATGCCATGAACCATATTCTCCAATAACTGGTATGCCATGAACCGTATTCTCCAATAATCGGTATGCTATAAACTGTATTCTATGATAATCAGTATGCCATAGACCGTATTCTCCAATAATCGGTATGTCGTGAACCATATTCTCCAATAACCGGTATGCCATAAACTGTATGCTATGATAACCGGTATGCCATAAACTGTATTTTATGATAACCGGTATGCCATAAACTGTATTTTATGATAACCGGTATGCCATAAACTGTATTCTATGATAACCGGTATGCCATGAACCATATTCTCCAATAATCAGTATGTCGTGAACCATATACTCTCATAACCTGTATGCCATGAACCATATTCTCCAATAACCAGTATATCATGAACCGTATTCTATGATAGCCGGAATACCAGAAACCATATTCTACGATAATCGGTATGCCAGAAATCGTATTCTATGATAACCGGTATGCCAGAATCCATATTCTATGAGAGCCGGTATGCCATGAACCATATTCTATGATAACCGGTATGCTATGAACTGTATTCTACGATAACCGGTATGCCAGAAACGGCATTCTACGATAACCGGTATGCCAGAAACGGCATTCTACGATAGCCGGTATGCCAGAAACGGCATTCTACGATAGCCGGTATGCCAGAAACGGCATTCTACGATAACCGGTATGCCAGAAACGGCATTCTACGATAACCGGTATGCCAGAAACGGCATTCTACGATAACCGGTATGCCAGAAACGGCATTCTACGATAACCGGTATGCCAGAAACGGCATTCTACGATAACCGGTATGCCAGAAACGGCATTCTACGATAACCGGTATGCCAGAAACGGGATTCTACGATAACCGGTATGCCAGAAACGGCATTCTACGATAACCGGTATGCCAGAAACGGCATCCTATGAAAGCCGGTATGCCATGAATCGTATTCTATGATAAACGTTATGCCAGAATCTGTATTCTATGATAACCATACCTACTGTAGATCTACAGCCCAAAACTGTTGTTAGCTCACTGTCCCTTTACTGTGTACACACATCTTCCAAATACTCTGATTATTTGACTCTATGCTGAACTTTATTTCATTATTAGTGTCGTATTTTATGCCTACACTTTCCGAATCATACATTAATTCTAGAGCTGCTTTCATCAAGTTATATAACGGTGGTTCTCAGATTGCTTAGAGCAGGGCTCAACAAATCCGAGGCTAGGTCGACTAGGAATTTTGTCCTGGCGCATTGGGATTTGTAATCCCATTCAACGGTGGCTGCCTGCTGAGGGAGCAGGGAGGCGGCCCGCTGAGGGAGCTGTGATCTTCCTGCTCTGCTCCGTCACTACAGTAATGTTGGAAGCCAGGATATGATATCTCTCCAGCCCTACATTTCCCAAATGTTGGTAATTATGTGAGTGCGTGTGTCTGCCAGTGAGTGTCTGTTTAGGTGACCAGCCCTCATCTGATCACATAGGAAAGGTGTTTATGCTTGCCTTTCTTCCCACACATTGTTGGACTTGCTGCGACTGTCCCCGCCTCCATGGCTGAGATTCCATAGTAAAGCATTGGGAGGCAATTGCGCATGCGCTAATCAGCAACTCCTCATATAGATGCATTGAATCAGCACATTTCTATGAGGAACATTGAGCGCCTTCATGCAGAGCATGGAGATACTGAATGTAGGTTCTGCACACTCTGCAGCACTAGACTAGGAATCACCTCTAGTGGCCATCTGAGTGACTGTAATTAGAAGTGTTACTAGGCAGTATTATAAACACTGCTTTTTCTCTGCAAAGGCAGCATTTTACTTTGAAACGCTAACAGGGACAGGAGAACTACTAAATTAAGCTGTGGTGGTTCTAGTGACTATAGTGTCACTTTAAGAATTGTATTTTTATAAATGAAAATAAAGCTTTAAGAAACTGGCTCCTAAATTCCAAGCAAATTTGGCAAGCCCTGGCTTTAATGATATACTTGTATTTCACAAAGCACATTAATGTCCTCTGCTTGGTGCCCCTCCCACGGTTTACACCCTTCATTTTTGTATTGATTAATATTATACTCTTAAAACTGCTTTCATGGTACATCCTACTTTGTGTGGATCCTTTGTCTGTTCCTAACTCGCAGTGTTGGAAGTTCCTGCTCTGTGTGTGTGTTAGATGTTTGATTTAGAGGGTAGAGAAAGCCAGTGTAAGGACTGGCAAACATTACTCACCAGAACATTACATTAAGTTTTCCATATGTAAATGGTGGCTGTCTGTGATTATATTATATTCATAATCTCTCAGAGATGCGGAATTTGTATGGCCTGACACTGGAGACGTGCAGTTCCGGGCGCCGGACAGGCAGTTTGTTTTGACATTTAGCCGTACTGCGGGTAAGCGGCAGGGCTACTAGAAAGAGGACAGTGTGTCAGGGAGTGTGTGCACGATACTTCCAGCACTTGCAGACCTCAGATGTCAGTTCCAACCTGTTCTACTGAGTCAGAGTGCATTGCAGACTCGACTGTAGGATTGATTTAAAGACTGCAGCTGGCAAGATGGTTAGAAATATTTTAAGGGGGTGGGTGGAGTAGTAAGTGCCAAAATAGCAAATTCATGTTGTAGTGCAGGGATGCCCAAAGGTAGATGCCCAGATGTTTTAGAACTACAGCTTCCATGATTGCTTTGTCTTTCTAAAGCATTCTAAAGGCATGCAATGCATATAGGGAGTTGTAGTACTACAGCATCTTGGGATCTACCTTTTGGGCCATTATGGGCTCAGATGTATTTTGTGCATGCATAAAGAGTAATGCATATCATTCTGGAGTTTGCAGTCTGGATTTGATCAAGCATAAAACACTTGGGGAGTTGGCAGCGTCCTGTTATATGTAATATTAATAACTAACATTATGATTGCAGTCCAAGTTATGAGAGGGCATTTGCTATATCCACTGAGTTAGTCCTGTAGTAATGCTGTCCACATCATCTATGTTGCAAATAATGAAGTACAGTCTGAAAAATGTGTAAGAGTTGAAGGGAAGCAGATAAGGCTGTTGATGGGGTTTTGAAAGTCAGCATCTACAAATGCCTGTGTTTTGTCTTGAAAGCATTGGCATGTTTAGAATTATACGTACCGAATAAGGGAAGTCCTGGGTTCCTTACTTTCAGTGGATTGTGTTGTAAACAGTTTTGGATAGTTGGGTTGAATATGTTGTAAACATCTTTGGATAGTGGGGTTAAATATGTTGTAAACAGCTTTGGATAGTGGGGTTCATATAGTAAAAGGGCGAGTCCTCTGAATTCCTAACTGGATCCCGTTTATACACAAATAAAAGCATCGCATTGGCCCTTAGGTCTCTGCTGGAGAAATCTGCATTCAGCTTTGTCTCCTGAATCAGAATCTTTCCTCCGGCCTTTAATCAATATATCAACAGCCTGACTCCCCTATTGTCCTTTCCCCTCTGCTAATACGTGGTCTCCGTGTATACCCTTGCAGTCTCTCATTTCCCCTCTAATTTATTTATTTATAAAATATTTTACCAGGATGGATACATTGAGATTTCTCTCATTTTCAAGTATGTCCTGTGTCCACAAAACATTGATACAATAGGGTACAATATTACAAAAATACAATATACAAACTATAAATATATATACACATACACTCATATATAAATTTAATACATAACCGGTAATAAATATATTCAACCATGACATGTGCATTCTGTGCTAAAGTAAATTGCCATAGATCTCTTAAACAATTTTAGATTGAATGAAGATTTGTGAGTGTATCTCTAAGATTATTCCATAATTGCGGCGCCCTGTAGGAAAATGAGGATCGACCCACTTTATTTTTGTATTGCGGTATGCTAAATATCGTGCTAATACTGGATTGGAGGTTATAGGAGCTTGGAACAGCCTGGGAGAACATTCTACTCAGGTAGGGTGTCGAATGCTCTTATGCACAAGGCTGGAAAGATGAAGAGTGCGTCAGGATTCCTGCAACAGCCAGTTTAGCTCTTTTAACATGTCTCAGTGGTTGATAAAGTAATTACATTCTAGTACAATGTTGTTTGTTGCACTATCTGTCTCCTTACTGTAGGGCTTAGGCAGGATTTGTTTCTGTACAGGGCACCTAGCTTTGGGTAAAGTTTTGAAGAGATTGTTTTAATGTGAAGGCCAAAGGATAGATTGGGTCTAGCAACATAGATCAGCCTGCTGTCAGTGTGCTATTTGAATTTGTTCTGATACACAATTGTTGATTTTGTAGTTTACGTAATTTAGTTACAGTTCCAAAGATCATTGTAACGGTTTTGTCAGTGTTTAGGAGGAGTTTGTTATCCGCTATCCACTTTTCTACCTCTGTGAATTGGTTTTGGGGTCTGGGTGCCTAGAGTGGTCCTTTAAGGATTTGCAAACGTTAGGCAGATCATTTATACATTATGTGAATATGTGGTTTCTGTGTATACCCTTGCAGTATCTCATTTCCCCTCTAATATGTGGCCTCCGTGTATACCCTTGCAGTATCTCATTTCCCCTCTGCTAATACGTGGTCTGTGTATACCCTTGCAGTATCTCATTTCCCCTCTGCTAATACTTCGTAGTCTCTGTTTATACCCCTGCAGTATCTCATTTCCCCTCTAATACGTGGTCTCAGTGTATACCCTTGCAGTATCTAATTTCCCCTCTGCTAATACCTGGTCTCCGTGTATACCCCAGCAGTATCTAATTTCCCCTCTAATACGTGGTCTCTGTGTATACCCTTGCAGTATCTCATTTCCCCTCTGCTAACATGTGGTCTCAGTGTATACCCTTGCAGTATCTCATTACCCCTCTGCTAATACGTGGTCTTTGTGTATATCCTTGCAGTATCTCATTTCCCCTCTGCTAACATGTGGTCTCAGTGTATACCCTTGCAGTATCTCATTACCCCTCTGCTAATACGTGGTCTTTGTGTATACCCTTGCAGTATCTCATTTCCCTTCTGCTAACACGTGGTCTCAGTGTATACCCTTGCAGTATCTCATTTCCCCTCTGCTAATACTTGGTCTCCGTGTATACACCTGCAGTACCTCATTTCCCCTCTAATACGTGGTCTCTGTGTATACCCTTGCAGTATCTCATTACCCCTCTGCTAATACGTGGTCTCTGTGTATATCCCTGCAGTACCTCATTTCCCCTCTGCTAATACGTGGTCTCAGTGTATACCCCTGCAGTACCTCATTTCCCCTCTAATACGTGGTCTCTGTGTATACCCTTGCAGTATCTCATTTCCCCTCTAATACGTGATCTCTGTGTATACCTTTGCAGTATCTCATTTCCCCTCTGCTAATACGTGGTCTCAGTGTATACCCTTGCAGTATCTCATTTCCCCTCTGCTAATACGTGGTCTCTGTGTATACCCTTGCAGTATCTCATTTCCCCTCTGCTAATACGTGGTCTCTGTGTATACCCTTGCAGTATCCTGTTTTCACCTACTGCTGTTTTTGTTTTATATGGGATTTCCTGACGTGATCTATTTAAATACTCCGATTCAGTGCTGTGACAAATTAAGATTCATTATGCACTGGAACTTCAAAAGGACTCATTTCTTTGTGTAAGAATCACTTAGCTGCAGCTGCAATTTTTTAGTCTTCTAAATAAGCATAAATAAAGCTTTTGTCAAGTCACTTAGATCAAGGCTATAAAGACAAAATATGAAATTATTTAATTTTGTGCAGTAGCTGCAAAGGTATAAGTTGTGTGGGGACTGATTCTGTTTACATGAATATATTAGTTACACTAAGGGTCACCATCAACCCAATGCTGTCTGAATTGTGCCATCTGAGTCCCTGATATTTTATATTTAATGTTATGTCAGCAGCGAGACCTGTCAGAAAATAGCGCTACCTAATTTCAGACAAACTTCCCTGTTGCAATAAATAATAAATGCAAGGTGAGAGAAGGAGTTGAGGAGATTTAGTGTTGAGTATGTTGTTATAAAGTTGATGGCGGTTACAGTGAACCAGATCTGTGAGATTTTAGGCTAGTTGATATCGTTTCCCTGGTCTGTATCAAGAGAATTGCATCAGCCAAATGAAAGGAATTTGATTGTAGCAAACAACTGAACTACAGCCCAATGGAAGTGCAAATTCAGTTGAAATAGCCATGTTTGTGTTGAATAGAATTCAGTTGCTCTCTGGCATTTTGTGTATAGAATCTTTGTATCATTGTTCATGGTGTGCAGTATTGGCTCTCAGCCTGTATGCAGGTTTGTGTTGGTGTGAAGTAGGTGTGCATGGATGTTTTATCCTCTCCATGTCACTGGTCTCATTTTCCCACGTCACTAGCCTTCTCAGTCATTTGCCAAGTTACTCTTTATATTGTTATCCCTCTCCTTCCCATACATCTTTTTCTGTTTGCTCATCCCCATTTTGCTTGCACTCTATTCTCCATAATATTAATAGTTATGAGACTCCCATGTGTGCTTAGCTTGGCCCATATGGCTACTAAAGGATCTGCACCTGGAGTTGCCCCATGTTGTGAGCATTCTTAAACTGTGTCCTTCTCCATGTGTGCATCCTCCCATAGATTTATTATATTGTGTATAAACGTATAAATTCTAAATTATTTCTACATTTTTGCCTTTCCAGGTTGCATTTCAACATTTCCAGGAACTAGATGAACATATTAGCTATGTAGCCACCAAGGTGTGCCACCTTGGGGACCAGCTGGAGGGGGTAAACACACCACGCCAACGTGCTGTGGAGGCACAGAAACTGATGACCTATTTTAATGAATTTCTGGATGGAAATCTGCAGTCTGATGTATTTAACAACTCTGAAAAGGTTAGTGCTATCAGCTGGGCATTGAGGATTTCCATTGGCAACCAGCTTTGCCCTAATTACAAGGGGCCACTTACTGTCACTGAGACACTAACTTGTTACACTTTATCAGCCCTAACAATGTGATACTGTTAATTTACATTTGTTAAAGATTGGCTTTTTTTTGTATGCTTAAACCCTTTTTGTTAGTTTTGATGTAAAATTACCATATGAGTAAAATAACTTTGGGAATTTCAATTCAAAACAATTCAAAACTTTGTAAAAAAAAAAAAAAGAAAAGAAAAGAAAATGTGAAACAAACAAATCAATAGCTTTAGGATGTGGGCACATTAATGCAATGCAAACACATTGTAATAAAATGTCTTAGCTAGCATTTTTATTGTACTTGTATTGGTTAAAGGAATTCCAGCTGATTTAATTTTGAAACAGCGGGTGAACCTGCTGGATCATAGTAGGATATAATATGAGCTCAGAGGTCTCATTCTGTAATTGTCAGGCTAATGCAGGTGTCCACTTCGCCGTCAGTCTGGGGACATCAACGAGATCAGCCAAAGTGGAGAGGTTTTGTTGGTGCCAGTATCCTGTGTGGGGATGGGGTGCCTCCAAAACTCACTGTGGCCCATTATGTAGCAGAAGAATGGATATTTTTGTGTATCTGTACCTTTTCCGCTCCTTGGTGTCTGACTGCGGGCTGGCTGTGTGTTCTGTTGAAAGGATGGTATTGAGTTCTGTTGTGTTTAGTTATATGATTTGTATGTTTTATATAGATAAAAGAAGCAGCTGACATAATTCAGAAATTGCATCTGATTGCACAGGAGCTGCCATTTGATCGGTAAATATTTTTGTTGTAACCTTCAAATGAACACAAATCATGGATTGGAATTGTATCCACAAAATATAAATATATACAAGGGTACTTTTTATTTTTATTTTTTCTAATATATAAAAAAATAAAACATATATATATATATATATATATATATATATATATATATATATATATATATATATATATAGAAAAAGTCAATATAGAAGGAGCACTCACAGGTCTTCATATAAATATTGATTTATTCCAAGTTACATGTGCAATCGACGTTTCGACCCTCACAGGGTCTTCTTCAAAAGCTCCTTCTATATTGACTTTTTCTATATGTAAACGCTGAGGATTGCACCCAGGCAGTGTTGCAGTTGTTGGAAATATTAAGGGTGAGTGCCAAGAATTCTCTTCATATATATATATATATATATATATATATATATATATATATATATATATATATATATATATATATATATATATATATATATATATATATATAAAATTGAAACATGGGGTGCGGATCTAGCACATAAACTTACAAAAATCATCAATTATGAATATAGATTGCAGTGTAAACATAAATCTTAAAATTATGCAAATTTACACGTTTTAAGTTTCATTTCTTTGTTAATCTTTTATAGAAATATACGAGAAGTGAAAATCTTTAGACGATACCCAGCATCCATTATCCTACAACATTTCACACATGGTCTGAAATATATGTATAAAAGCAAAAATACAAATTTTCTTGCATACAGTAGGTTTGACAAAAATAGATGAATAAAAATGGTCAAATATCTTGCTTGTAGGTATGTGTAAGAAGCCAGATAGCATAACTACTAGTACAGCTTACTGATAATAGCAACAGAATGTAAACTTAGAGAATAATGCTGATATATCGTAAGAAGAGTTAAATCATATATTTCTAAAATGCAGGTATGAGCAATCTTTAACCCCTTAAGGACCAAACTTCTGGAATAAAAGGGAATCATGACATGTCACACATGTCATGTGTCCTTAAGGGGTTAAAGAAACCTCTATAATGATAAGAGCCATACACAAGTAGTAATTCACTCCTCCCTGACTGTTCAAATGGTTTGATCTTTGAGGCTTCCTTTACTAAAATATGTCTTTTTTACACAGGTTTGCGGAGGTAAAATCAAAAATTGCAAGTAAGTTCCATGTTAGAGATTCTTGCTGTTTTTCTTGCTCTTTTCGAACTCGTGTTATTGTAAACCTAACAATACTGTTTGCTCTGTACAGGTAAATACCACGATTTGGAGCATCAGTTAATTCAGGAATTTAAAAGTGCTCAGCGCAGAGGAGAAATCTCGCGTATGAGAGAGCTGGCCGCAGTTTTGCTTCACTTTAAGGTATGTTTTTCAGTCATAGATCCTGGTCAGGTATAGTGCTGAGGTAGGGGTTTAAGTGCTGGTTAGCTTAAATAATAAATATAGTTAAATGGATACTATAGTGCCAGGAATACAAAGCTTATATGATATTACCCTCCTCCTAAATAATTAGGAAGTGACATTCCTCATTCTTTTAGGAACAGAAGCGGGATGAATGTTTTGTGCTGGGAAAGCACCAGCTTTTGTCCAACTGCTCAAAAAAATGGAGGGACTGCACTAATAGATTCCTTGTACCATAACCACTATAATATGCTCTAGTGGTTATGGTACGTAGAGTGCCTCTTTAACCCCTTAAGGACCAAACTTCTGGAATAAAAGGGAATCATGACATGTCACACATGTCATGTGTCCTTAAGGGGTTAAAGCTGCTTTGCCACAACCCCTCCCCCCTCCAAAATTAGCATTTTATAAAAAATAGAACCTTTAGGAGATTCTCATATAGACTCTGTTCGTATTTCTCTAAAATTCCAACCCAGGCAAAATATATCATAAGACAAAGTAGGGACTGCTTTATATTATGTATTTTTCCTACTCCTGACAAAAAGGCGGAGCTACTGCTGTCAAGCCTTCAGCTGTCACTAGTGACGGCTGAGGGGGAAAAGGCTCTTTCCATGGTCTAGCGGATCCTCATTAGACATCAGTGTTGTACTCTTGGGCATGCGCGAGAGTGCCACACTGATGTCGGCTCCTTGCAGGTCAGGCATCAGGAGCATGGAAGATGTCAGCGGCCACAAAGGAACGTTTCAGGTAAGTAAAAACTACCTTCTGCACAAAGCGGCCAGTGTAATGCAAACAGAGAAATCACCATCAGGGGTCTTTACAAAATGTGCAAAGACCCCAGAAGGTGACTGAGTCGCTTTAATTTAAAGAGATCCTATAAAGCCAGGAAAACAAAGCCCCCCTCCCTTGTAGCCCCCCCACCCATGACGCAGAAGGGGTTAAAACCCCTTCGATTTATTTATTTTTGCATCCTCTGTATAAGACATGTCTGTTTTATGCATTTACTGTTCTCTTCAGCCACATTTAGTTGATGCGGATTATATTTTTTTCTACGTTTTTTTTTTTTTTCTCTACTGCTCATCCGAAATCCTCAACGTGCATTATTTTTCTTTTCTTTGCAGGGATATTCTCATTGTATGGATGTATATATAACTCAGTGTCAGGAGGTGAGGTATACAGTGTGCTATAAATACATATACATTAAGAATAGGAGTTAAACAATATAATAACTGTCTTGCGCTGTCTTTCTGTGTTTAGGGGACATTTGTTAAAGGAGACATATTTGAGAACTCTGCTGTGTTGTGTCAGCGTGTTAATCGAGAAGTTGGTGACATCTTCAGCAACCCAGAAATTGTTCTGGCCAAACTTATCCAAAACATTTTTGAAGTCAATATTCAGGTATGCAATATATTAATGCTGTTTTGGCGTTATGTTCTGTTAGCGAAGCGATTGTGGCATTATCACAGAGTAACATATTAATACTGTTCTGGCGTCATGCTCTGTTCTGTTAGTGAAACAATTGTAGCATTATCACGTAGTAACATATTAGTACTGGTCTGGCATTATGCTAAATGTGAAATTTGATGGGAGCACCCACAGCAGAAATGGGTGCATCCCAATACTTTTGTTTCTTTTTAAAGGAACACTATACGGTCAGGGACACAAACATGTATTTCTGACCATATAGTGTTAAAACCACCATCTAGGCTCCTCTGGTACCCCCTTACCTTCCTAAGTATAGTAAAATCTTACTTGTATTCAAGTCTGCTGCTTCTGGCTCTGCCACTGACCTGCCTACATGCCTGACATCAGCAGAAGGGATTCTGTGAGCCAGTCACAATGCATTCACATAGAATTGGCTGAGACTGTCAAGGAGGCAGATCAGGGGCAATGCCAGCACAAGTCAAACACAGCCCTGGCTAATCAGCATCTCCTCATAGAAATGCATTGAATCAATCCATCTCTATGAGGAAATTTCATTGTCTCCATGCAGCACTTCCCCAGGAAGCCATCTGAGGAGTGGCCAGTGGAGGTATCCCTAGGCTGTAATGTAAACACTGCATTTTCTCAGAAAAGACAGTGTTTACAGCAAAAAGCCTGCAGGGAATGATTCTACTCACCAGAACAAATACAATAAGCTGTTGTTGTTTTAGTGACTATAGTGTCCCTTTAATGTGACTTTTTGACAAAGATTGAAATCTGTTTCCTCTTTACACAAGAGGAATAGATGAATTAGGAAGGTTGGCATCTGAGGACCAACTGCTGCCATCTACTGGTTTATAATATCTGGATGTTGCTCATGTATTAGAGCGGTCATCCCAAACCCAGTCCTCATGGACCACTAACAGTCCAAGATTTATGTATTTCCCTGTTTTATTCCAATGAAGTTACTGGCAAAACCTGGACTGTTGTCCTTGAGGACTGGGTTGGGGAACACTGTATTAGAGGATCTGTCCTCGGAAAATAGCTTTAACGTTAATTAACAAATTAAGATCTTTTAGTGTTGTTGTTTATTGTGCTATTGCATCTATCCTAAATATATTATTTGTCTACTTTTAAAGAGAACAGTTGATATATTTAATTAACCCTGTTCTCCTATTAACTCACTTGATCTGCCCTACTTACACTTAGTAATTACTAAAGGGCAAACTGCCACTTTCAGAGAGGTTCCCACCTGCAAGAAATGTCCAGATGCTTGCTGGTTGGTGTACGTGCTCGCCAGATGGGAGTGATGAGGCATAGCGCTAAAAGTGAATGTTTTATTAATTGTTTGCTTCACAAACACATTAAGCATGAAAGAAGTTGTTTTCAAGGGCTGCAGGGAACAAGTTTAATTATCTTGCCCATTGGTTTATTCACATCCTAACTGGTTATTGACATAATAAGCCTTTAAGCAGTGCCAGGCAACAACAGAACCATGCATTAATGTGTCTTTCATTACTGTAAAAAGGGAAGAGTGATTAAAAGATCAAATTGTATATTCCATAAATCGATAAAATAATAGTATGTTCACTCTTGCGGTAGCGCCATCATGTGAAGTGTTCCCTTGATCCGTGCGTTTAGATGCTGCCAGGGATTGAATCTTACCTTCAGCGGTGTGAATGCACTCTCCACAGGATCCAGTATGGAATATTCACACTGAGATGAAAAGAATGTGTCCATCCGTGATGTTGTTTTGACAGGATGCGACTAATTGAATGATGCGCAGATAATGTGTTCTTGAAGTGTGCTAAGATTTTTATATTTTTGTTTCAGACTTTTGTTAAAGACAAGTTGGAAGAATGTAAGAAATCTGATGCAGAACAATACCTTAAGAATCTGTATGATCTGTACACAAGGTATTAAAGGTTTTTATTAATATGTTTTGTGGAAATCCTATGAACGTTTGGTATTGAGGACACTTGTTGCAGTGATTTTATGATTCCGTGCTTCAATATGCCAATTACACGCAGTGTCTGAGACCAGCAGACTTTGTCACTGTCTATACCAGTCGAAACATTACTTTTGGTGACTCTTTGCAGAAGAGACGCAACTCTAATGGGGAAATTAGTAATGCACTGCATTATCACCCACGGGCTGCAAGATGGGTTCTTATGATGACTCAATATGGTGGGTCAGTAGGATGACTGTTGCTTACTATATTCCCCAGTAGCTATTTGGTAATATGTGAGATATGCCTTTTGATGGCAGACATTTCCTACCTTTGCTCTCTTGGGGGATGTTGACTATTATAATCACAGATGCTTGTGTTTAAGTTGGAGATACCTGTCTACTGGCCAGTGTCACAGGCCACCATCAATACAATGGGATAAATGTAGGAACTTTGTGGGCAGAGATTTTCACTTTGTGCTGTCCATTGGTATTTTTCATATACTGACTCAATATATGTCCTTTCACGTAAATATTTTTATTATAAAATGTGAAAAAACATTTGTATTATCTATGTATAATTCTAATAAGCTATTGAGTGTTGTCCTCGTAAGTTCTAAAAAAAAAAAAATTAAAAAAAAAAATTGTATCCAATTAACTAAATGTCTTCTGCCCGTCCACAACTGTTTGACCTGGATCTACTGGGTGATATTTCCCTCTCTCAGCCTGAAGTGAAAGCTGGTATCCCCTGTTAGGAGCTTCCATTAGCTCTCCTGACCAAAGCCTGGCCCACCACTGGCGTTATCTCAATGCAGCTTCCGGCTGTAAGTAGCACCTGACAAATCCCCTGGTAAGAAATTAAACCATGACTACTTACTTGGAGAGGAACCAGGGCACTCCTGGTACCATAAACATGACTTAGTGCTCACTGGTAATGACGCTTGGAGTGTTCATTTAAGTAGAACATTTGGAATAAAAATAAATAATTAAACACACACACATCTTTATTTAAAAAATAAAATAAATAAAAAACCAGATGACAAGTTTACTTTAACAATGCTTTATTTACAACAGTTCCTCCAGTTGGGCCAACTGAATGCAATCTCTTCTCGAATGCTGTTGCTGAAACATCTGTATTTCACATTAAAATTTGGCCAAGCTTTTATGTCCAATTTCAGGGGCAGCTCATTGTTTATTATAAACCGTCTGATTTGAATGAATTTAACATTGTTCATTCGTAGTCGGTGCCAGCATCGTTAAATAAAAAAAAACTACAAACAAACCATGCAGCCTACTGAAACCAGAAGGTAAACAACTTACATTGATATTCTTAATTTGGCCATAGCATTTACACAAATGATTTGTTAATTAGGCACCTTACTGTTTATAAGGCTACTCCAACCACAAACTCTGTGTTTTAAGAACACACTGGCTTGGTTAGAGTATTCCTTCCAATAAACTTACCTCTGTTCCTGCCTCGAGCCCAATCCTCCTCAGCTGAGGTCACTCCCCCTAGTTCCAAGAAAACAGGAAAGGGATCTATAGCGATAGGAATAGAGGTTTGTATTCCTAACACTTTAGTTTTCCTTTAATAACCGTATCTGCACTTTAGCACATCTGTTAGCAAAGTATGCTACAATCTGCGTTGCGACATTGAATTTTTAAAATTTAATTCACATGTATATTTTTTATTTCATCTAGAACTACCAGTCTTTCTAGCAAACTAATGGAGTTCAATCTGGGTACGGATAAACAAACCTTTTTATCAAAGTTGATCAAATCGATATTCATCACTTACCTGGACAACTATATTGACGTTGAAACTGCTTACTTGAGAAGTCGGAGTTCGGTGATTTTACAACGTTTTTATGATTCTAAGAACCACCAAAAGAGATCTATTGGAACTGGGGGGTAAGTATTTTAATGTAAATTTTGCAGTCTGGCTTAAAATTAATCTGACTTAAAGGACCACTATGGTGCCCTGAGGGTGCCCCCACCCTTAGGGTCCCCCTCCCGCCGGGCTCTGGGGAGAGGAAAGGGTTAAATCTTACCTTTTTTTCCAACGCCGGGCGGGGAGCTCCCCTCCTTCTCTCCGCCTCCGATCCTCCTCTTCGACTGAATGCGTATGCGCGGCAGGAGCTGCGCGTGCATTCAGCCAGTCTCATAGGAAAGCATTTATAAAGAGAAGCACGCAAACGCCTCTAGCGGCTGTCAGTGAGACCGCCACTAGAGGCTTTAGAGGCTGGATTAACCCATTTATAAACATACCGGTTTCTCTGAAACTGCTATGTTTATAAAAAAAAAAAAGGGTTAATTCTAGAGGGACCTGGCACCCAGACCACTTCATTAAGTTGAAGTGGTCTGAGTGCCTAGAGTGGTCCTTTAATGTTTTTTTTTTTTTACTTTTCTTTATTTTTGTTCAGCGTTCTCTGCGCTGTTCCTCATTTTCTCTTGCTCGGCTTTTCAGACCACTAACACGCACACTGAGAAACTTTTCATTATAAATTAGAGCATTATAAGAGTCATTAATTAATAACGCACTTTCACACATTTTAACTGCCTAAATGTGTAACTAAGCTATAACAGAACAATTGCACAGGGCATGCACAAAATACTGCTGTTCGCCAATCAATAAAAACAAAAACCTACAGAATCAAAACTCAGATTTTGACACAAGTCTTGCAATTTTGCTTTATACGATTTACATTTGACTCTAATCCTTTTTTGTTTTCTCTGAAATTACACCCATGTTAGATTAATCTCTCTGCCATTAAATATTGTTATTCCAATAGAATCTTGTTAGGTGTCACATAAGGAAATCATAGAGAAAAAGGTTTAATCAAAATCCTTATCAATCTTATTAATCCTCTTTACAAGGCAGTGATATGTGATAATATATACAGTAGCGATATGTTGCCGAGATCTTTAGCATGGCTACACTCCAAGAATGGTTTATCAACTTACCTGGGGTCCTTTAATTGCCCTCCATCTCTGCAAATGGAAGCTCTGTGCAGAGCTAAGCCCAGTACCACTAAGTGGCGTTAATTGAAGCACCTGCAAGGTTACTCCATGGGAGGTTGGCAATAGCTGCCAGATGTCACCCAGGTAAGTTGTCAAAATGGTTCTTAAAGGACTTTCATCAAGTTTTACTTCTCTTTTTTACGTTTATTACATTTATTGAAACTTTATTCGTTTTTAAATTATGTATATTGATTTTTATTTATTTTTGTGTGTGTGAAAATTTCACTTTTTTGTTTTTTATTTGGCTAAGCAACCATTTTGGGTCAGATTCAGATGATATCTGACAAACTGTTGCTCATCCTAACTTGCTGTTGCTGTAATTGCTATATGTGAACCTGCAGCAGCAGCAAGTTAGATTGGGCAGCAGTTGCTTAGATAACCGTAAAGCAAGCATGCCAAACTCAAAGTCTGGCACGGGCCACATAAACAAGGTTTAGGTTTATGTGGGCTGCAAAACAAAATACCTTAAATAGGTTTATTTTAAAAAGCACAGTATGGAAAAAAAAAAAAAACAGCATCCCCCTCTACTAAATCCCAGTCCCCCCTCCCTACTAAATCCCAGTCGTCCCCCCTCCTACTAAATCCCAGTCGTCCCCCCTCCTACTAAATCCCAGTCGTCCCACCCCTCCTACTCTATCCCAGTCGTCCCACCCCTCCTACTCTATCCCAGTAAGGTCCCACCCCTCCTACTCTATCCCAGTGCCCCCCCTCCTCCATCCCAGTGCGTCCCACCCCTCCTACTCTATCCCAGTGGAGTCCCACCCCCTCCTACTCTGTCCCAGTCGTCCCACCCCTCCCTGCTCTATCCCAGTGGGTCCCACCCCCTCCTACTCTATCCCAGCTCCTAGATCCCGTCGTCCCACCCCTCCTACTCTATCCCAGTGTCCCACCCCTCCTACTCTATCCCAGTGGGTCCCACCCCCTCCCTCTCTACTCCGGGTGCGTGGGTCCACCCCTCCTACTAAATCCCAGTGAGTCCCACCCCTCCTACTAAATCCCAGTGTCCCACCCCTCCTACTAAATCCCAGTCGTCCCACCCCTCCTACTAAATCCCAGTCGTCCCACCCCTCTACCACCCTGTGCCAAATCTGATCCTCCCACTACTTCTTGAAACTCTGTGAAGGTGGAGCACGTCGATGTCACGTGGCGTTGCGTGCCTCCATGCACCTCTGGGTACTCCACTGTCCAGTCGCAGCCAATGCAACACACACACACTCACTCACAGACATACTCACTCACAGACATACTCACTCACAGACATACTCACTCACAGACATACTCACTCACAGACATACTCACTCACAGACATACTCACTCACAGACATACTCACTCACAGACATACTCACTCACAGACATACTCACTCACTCACAGACATACTCACTCACTCACAGACATACTCACTCACTCACACACAGACACACATTATTGCACTCACATAATTTAATTTATTGTTCCCTACCTTTGGGAGCTGGTTTGGGGATCTTCTATCTGGAGATCTCCTTCCTGGTGCCGGAATATGACCATATATTCCCGCGCCCAGCCTCACTACAGACTGCACTCGCCAGGGAGCAGTGAGGAGCAGGAACACTGAGCACCCTCGCTGGCCTTCCCCCCCCCCCGGCCGGGTAAGTTTGAGCAGAGTAGACACCTACAATGTGGGGAAAGCAGTTGCCTACTCTGCTATAACACCATCATGTACTTGCGATTCGCTGGGCCGCATGCGACCCGCGGGCCGCGAGTTTGACATGCTTGCCATAGAGTCTGACTCAACATGGCCGCTCAGCCAGATAAAAAGTGACATTTTCTCCAAAAAAATTATCTGTATACATAGTTTTTAAAAAAATCGTTGTTACATTAAATGTAATAAACTTAAACATAGAAGTGTAATATTATGACTGTTGTCCTTTAAACTGTTTTACTCTAGGAGGTCACCAGGGTACTACTGGCACCATAACCATTACAGTTGCGTGGAGTATTCCTTTTAAGTAATTTAACTGGTCCATTAAAAACAAATATAAAAAGAAATAAAACTTAATTCCATAACGAAAATTATTTTATGGGGTAGTAGTGGTTTTCAAATATCTAAACTAGCGCATTTTAATAGCTAGGAAAATATAGTATAGCTGTTTTCTTTTACACGTAGAAATATGAACTAATACAGTTTGTTGGCACAGGGGAAGTGAAGTAGGGTACGAACAAACAGGGATTTGTGATTATTAACTCAAGAATGTTAGAAATTGTTTCCCAAATACTCAATTTTTCTTCACTAATTGATTCAAATCTCGATAATGAACTGGATTCTTCTTAACTGATGCCTAGGTAGATAATGCAAGCCACATAATAGACTTTAATAGTAATGCAATTTCATTTTCTAAACACCATAGGATTCAAGACCTAAAAGAAAGGATTAGGCAGCGAACAAATTTGTCCTTGGGTCCTAGTATTGAAACACATGGAGAGACGTTTTTGGCACAGGAAGTAGTGGTGAACCTCCTACAAGAAACCAAACATGCCTTTGAAAGGTGTCATAAAGTGAGTTCCAGCAAATATACTGTGCTTTCTTATAAACCGATTTAGCTCATTAACTACCAACAGAATAATCTTTTCATCTATTAATGCTATGGTATTGTTAATTCAAACAAACATTTGTTTTCACATTTAATATATTGGGGTAGTTTATACCCTTAAACAATAAGGCCTGCTTTCCCCAGTCTTATCCTCTACAAAAAAATAAACAATAAAGCACACAGAGGTAGTTGTGGCATTATAATGACAACCGCTGACCTGTATAAGCAGGGTTTAATCTGGCTTGAAAACCATTCAAGCATGTTGGTGCCAGCAAGATCCTAAACACTAAACCCATCAAAAATGGTTAAAAAGAGGGGTTTTATGCCTAAAAAGACTGAAAATAGGTACTACTTCCTGCTGCACTACGCCAACAAGATTCCCTAAGGGAGTTCCTCTAGTACACCAGTCTTTATCAGAGCCCCTGTGGCAGGCACTGCACTGCAATCACTTTCCCTTCCTTTCTGTTTTTGGCCTCAAAGCCACCCCCTTTTTCACCCGAGCTAATGTGGGTTAGGGAGAGTACTCCTTAGTTCTAATAACTGTTTGCCATAAGGGAGACCCCATACTACCCAGTACACCCCGAGGACCTACGTGGGGTCCCCTGCCAATGTGTCACTAAATGAAGCGGCTATTTGAAAAAATGTACAGCAATTCACAGCCTTAAACTATTCCTATTTAGCCTGCGGAGAGATAGAGATACATTTAAAACAAAATAAAATCATGTGTATTGATCCTGCATCCCAAGAGAGGAGAGTGAGGGAAAGAAACTATAGATTAGTGAATCCAAATCACACGTAAGACCCTTTAACATTAACTTTCCAATATTTTTTTATACCTCCTACTTATTGCCTGTTATTTTTTTTCCCCCAGCTTTCAGATCCATCAGATCTCCCAAAGAAGGCATTTAGAATATTTTTACTTCTCGTGGATTATTTATGCATTGAGCACATTGATTACGCTTTGGAAATTGGACTAGCAGGTAAGCGGGACTTTTTAGCTTTCTTTTAAAAATGTTTAGTTTTATCTTTTGCCTTCTTTCCTGAGAAAAGCAATGAGACTTATGGTAGAAATGACGTAGTTTCTGTCAAATAAAAAGTGTGGGTACTTGTTAGTAGTGCAGTTCATGTTGCAAATATAAGGTTAACCCATACAAAACCAACAAATATCAGTACTCTTCATGGAACAAAGTGTCTGCAAGTGTTGATGAAGGGCATCTGGGTTTCAAACGTTTAAAGAAAATTGTGAGAAAGTACTATGTGGCGAAGGGGCGATATTTTATTATAAGGGAATAGGAATGTTAAGTTGACAAGTGACCTGGAGGAAGGGGACATTGATGTGTGCATGTTAAAAGTGTTGTACTTACAGCTGTACATGTACTGTATATGTCAGAAATACACCCCCTTAATTCACACACAGGCACTACACACGTACACGTCTGTATTTGCACACTGACACACCACACATACATCCCTGCACTAACACATACTTTTTTACCACACAAATACACTTGTGTTTTTACATGCCCTGACAATCTACACAAATACACCAATGCATTCTCACAAATGGGCACTCCTGCTGCAAACATGTTTTTAAGAAGAAAAAAACAAAGCAAAAAAACTTTATTCATGTGCTTGTAGGTTGTTGAGTAAATTGCAGGCTCCCATCATCTTGTAGTTTCATAACCTCTATAATGAGCAATAGTGGTTGTGTTGCTTTGAGTGCTTCTGCACGTTCTCTATGTTCTGAGATAGGCTTAGAATTGTTGGAATAGTTTGGGACACAGTAAGTGCTTGCTTAGTATTGACTGTCACTTTTCTGTCCATTTCAGCAATCCCTTCTCCTGATTCGAAGAACGCCAGCCTCTATTTTTTCGATGTTGTGCATCAAGCCAACACAATTTTCCATTTATTCGACAAGCAGTTCAATGATCATCTCATGCCGTTAATTAGGTAAGACTGCAATCTGAATTTATACAGATTAGTCATTTTAGTGATCATAGAAACCGATGATATAGCTCAGTTGGTTATTGCCTCACTTGTAGAGCTTGTTCAAATATCAGAATAACTCAATTCTTCCTTTCATCTTTCTGGGATCAATACAGTAATCGCCGCTGATTTGATTAATAATCATCTTATAAGAAAACCTGTTAGAGATTAGAGCAGGTAGAACATACAGATGTCTCTCAAATTCATGATTTTATTTATGTATATTTTTTTTCTTGCAGTTCATCTCCGAAGCTAACAGAGTGTCTCCAGAAAAAGAAAGATATAATCGAGCAGATGGAGGTGAAATTAGATACTGGTATTGACAGGTGAGACTACACATAGTTCTGCAAGCACTGGCTAGTTTAGAGAAATTTCCTCTTTACTTCAGTAACCACATATCTTTCCTAAGCTGAACATGTTATAATACAGTGTTATGCACTGTTGATGAATTAGAAGTAAGGAGCTGTAAGTGAATAATTTTATTGTATCAAATGGTTTGTGAAAGTATAGAAAGTACACTCTTGCTTTGACTTGCAAAGCCTGGCTCAAACCATATAACGTAGGTTTATACAATTATACATCAATTTTACACCCATTATTTATTTAGTGAATAAACACAAGAGACTCTAAGATAAGTTCAGATTATTCCAGTATGGTGAGGGCAGGAGATCATTTTGGGTGACGCTACAGTGGTTTAAAGGACTTAATGCACCTAGACTACTCCATCTCAATGCAGTGGTCTGGGTGCAGAGGGCCTGAAGTTTTAGCCCTGCACTTCCAGTGATATTCGACAACCATGAGGACATTGGACGTCATCAAATGCAGCTTATAGGAGCCCATTGAATTCAGTGCGTGCCTATGAGAAGCATTTGGTTGGACGTTCTCATCTGAGGAGTGTTGGATTGGGCGATCGCAGAGGACACCACTCCTCGACAAAGACACGGGAGGCAGAGCAGGCAGCAGCACAGATGATGTCTAGGTGCTTAATAAACTATTTTTATTGCTCACAGACGGTTGATCTAATTAGGGACAAGGGCAACATAGTGTTAGGAATACAGGTTTGTATTCCTTAACACAATAGTGTTCCTTTAAGTAGCGTACTGTTTGCAAATCTGTGCTCTTGTATCTAACCATTTTATGCCTTGTTAGAGTAGTAAAAGCATTATTAAGTATGTATTTTTGGCCACCACAGGACACTAAATTGCATGATCGGGCAGATGAAGCAAATCTTAACTGCTGAGCAAAAAAAGACAGATTTTAAACCTGAAGATGAAAATAATGTATTAATTCAGTACACTACTGTGAGTATAAAATTACTTTATCTTTTTTTTTTTACACCAAATACATTTTTATGAATTATTTTATCTGCTTAACTCTATGTATTTTAATTTTTAGGCTTGCGTAAAAGTTTGCCTTTATGTGCGGAAACAAGTGGAAAAGATTAGGAATTCAATGGACGGGAAGAATGTGGACACTGTGCTAATGGAACTGGGGGTCCGTTTCCACCGTCTTATATATGAACATCTTCAGCAATTTTCTTACAGCTCGATGGGAGGAATGCTAGCGATCTGTGATGTAGCAGAATATAGAAAGTGTGCCAAGGAATTCAAGGTGAGTGTGAGAATGAAAGCTAATATGCAATAATTTCTTTAAAGCCAGTTCAAATGAGTTCAGAACATTTCTGTTTTTGGTGGTGGTGAGGGGGAACCTTATATCGCAAATGGTTTGATTACATACCTGGGGGAGTATGAGACCACTCATGGCACCATAATCCCTACAGCGGGCTGTAGTGGTTCTAGAGTTTACAGTGTTCCTTTAAATAAAGAATTCTTTTACGCTTTCTTTTGAGATGAGATTAGAATCATGGAGAAATTTAATTTGCAGAAAATAACCTGGGTTTTGAGAAAACATTTGTGACAGACTCAAGCTCTATCAATCTAGTGACTCAATCGTGTGCATTTCCTGTTTCTGTTTGCAGATTCCACTTGTGCTACAACTTTTTGATACTCTGCACTCCCTTTGCAACCTTCTGGTTGTAGCCCCAGACAATTTAAAGCAGGTTTGCTCGGGTGAGCAGCTCGCCAGCTTGGACAAGAACATCCTCCATTCCTTTGTGCAACTGAGAGCCGACTACAGATCTTCACGCCTCGCCAGGCATTTTAGCTGAAGTCTGCCATCAAGAGCAGCAACATGTAACTGTTTTCCAAGCCTTGGTTGTAAGAAAGCACAGGGAGTCTTTACATACTCCTAAGTACATGGAGACTGGTTTCTTTTTACAGGGCTGTAACGCTATAGCAGAACAAGGCCGCATTTAACCCACCCCTGTTCCTGCTTTCCTGTCCATAAAGAGTGGAAGTAAATTTAATCCCGACACCTGACTTCTCCGGTATGGAAACTAAGAAGCGGGTTTGTTATTTTGTGCAACATTTACTCTGATGCTTAATTTTCCTCTTTTCGTTGTAGACATGAATATTGGAATGGGGGCATACTGTATATGCTGCTTTGTAATGAGTTAACCCATAAAGTAGCTGCTTTTATATAAGTGAGGGTGATTTTATTGTAAATTGTGACAAAATGGTGTGTGAGGTTCAGAGATATATTAAGATTGAGACTTTGTCTTCATAGCATATTGAATGAAACTCCTTTTGTGCCTGGGAAGGTAGTACATATTTAAGGAGTCACTTCTGCTGCCTAATAATACAGAAATAGGTATGCTAAGCTAAACTGAATATATTTGTCTTACCAGGCCTTTGTTAGGTTTTTTTTTTTTCCCCCATGGTCTGTTGATCTTGTACCTAGTTTAAAATAGAAGTCTACTTTGTTGATACTGACAGATTACATCTCTTGTAACTCATCTGTTCAGTACAGTCTATTCACATTTGTTCATCCTCACAAATATTTAGAAAATATATTATTTATCTATATGAAGCTTGGCTGCTTTCCCCAAGAACATGTTTAATTAATTTATTTGTACAGATGGCTGAACTAAGACCAGTTATGACGCTAGGACTAGATTATTTGAGAAATGGCATCTTTGAACCATTATGTCCAGTTTGTGTACACCATTTTGTGTTTTTATACATTCACTTTGGTTTACTGATGAGATCATTTGCTATATGTATTATATAACCAACTTTTACATTCTAAATCAGAATTTATTTACACTTCATTTATTAAAAAATATTGTTTTGTAGAAACTGCCATCATCCTCAGATGTGCTAATGAAACTTGATGGACATTGCAGTCAAATAACACCTATAATGGTAGATTTGTTGCCCATTACTACTGTAACATGAAATTAGTTATGTATTAACTTGTTATAATATTCTTAAAGAAGGTATTCCCTTCGTGATGCATCGGAGGGCCTTCCCCAACCCATGAAATAGATTTCCGCACTTTAAACCACAAAATTGCACCAACTTTTGTTTTGTCCTTCGCAAAGTTATTTGTTTTTTGAAAAAATCCACACTGCAGCCCGTTTTAACAAATTACTATTAAAAAAAAAAAAAAATCACAAGAGTTTCAGAAAGTGCTTTATGCCAAAATAATGTTGCCAAATATTACACATTTTTTGGAAGCAGTAGAAAATATTTTGCCAAGAAAAAAAAACAATGCTTAAGGGGGACAGAGATAATGGACAGCAGCAGAACTAGCTGTTTTCTATATTATTCTGTGTTGAATGACTGAATCGTCATTTTTAGAGTAGCGGGAGGGAGAACAAATCTGCCTCGTTCAGAATGAAGTACATGAGAAACTTCATTGTATGTGCATAGGTGAATGACGTTCCGGTAAGTAACTCGGTACTCTCTTAAAATCAGAAGTGCCAAACTGCAGCCCCACAGCACCTGTTAAATCACCCGATTCTCTGTGAGTCATAGGCTGGCAGAGATAAGTGAGGGTTGTAGTCCAACATTGTTTATGGGGTGCAGTTTAACACCCCTGGTCTAGAGCTTCTGGTCTTACTGAGCAAGCAATGTTTGTACGTGTATTTTTTTAAAATAATCTTATGGGCTTGAGATATGGTTAGATTGTACACCCTTTCACTACAAACTACTTTTTAAAAGCTTGTGAGTATTGATAGATGTATGTATATATAAAAAAAAAAAAATCCAGTTATTGATCCTACAGATCGTTCCCTTTGTGTGACTCAAGTAGCTGAACATGCCTTGGTCCAAGCTGTCTCCTAACCATATAAACAATACAGCAAATTAGAATGCACCTTAAAGTTTAACTGGGAACATCTCACGCATATGTTTCTGAATTCTGTGCTGGATTTAATATATATATATGTTAAAGGTGAACTGTTACTTCTTTGGAATTCCCCCAATTGAATAAAACACTGAAAGCCACCTATAACATGTTACAGCATCTTATTTAAAAAAAAAAAAAAAAAATGGTTGGTGTCTTTTAAATTTATATTAAAGATTTAGCAGATTGCCTCATAATCAACTTTAGACAAAGCAAAGCCAGGGCAAATATTGCTAACGAAGGGGAAAAACTGATTTAAAAAAAATGATTTCTCCTCTTATGTATGGTCCGTCTACGCGCACCGTCTACTTCAAAGAACAGAGTTTATAACCATGATTTCCAAAAAGCTAAGATGGAGACGCCCAGTTACAGGATCAAAAGGTGTGAATTTTTACATTTAATGTTATTTTTCACACCATCAATACATATGTTTTCTTTTCATTTCTAGTTAAGAAATCATATTTAAAAACCTGACATTTTACACATGCTTTTAAAAACAAATGTTGTTACGCGAAACAGTTTTTTTTAAACTTGCAAAGCTTAAGCTAGGAATAGGCAACCTTCGGTACTCCAGATGTTGTGGACTACATCACCCATAATGCTAGCAAAGCCTGGCTTAAGCAATGGAAATGCTCAGGAGTTACAGAACAAATGTATCTATTTCCATCTTCGTTAATGGCACTTTTTTTTATTTTTTTATTGCTGGGATCCATACAGACAATGATCTGGTTTTATTGTGACGTTAGACCGCTTTTATAACCAGTCCAGTGAGACCTGTGAACTATTATCTCCTGAACATTGCTTGTTAGGAACCATGCTTTAATTTCATAGATGTTTTACTTTTAAATACGATGTTGTTGGCTTTTAATGCACAGAATCACCACAGTATGAGATGTTTAAAGAATAACATCTTTCCTGCCTGTAATTTAAAAGACAAAATTTCTCTCTGCTTAAATAAAAATCTTAGAATACTCTGGTAGCATAAAGCTGTTTGAATCATGTGTTGTAGGTCAACAACAGCAGGAAAGCTACCCTGTTGTAAAATAAATGCATCCAAAAATGTATGAAATATTATACCTACAGTCTAGCTGCCAATAATCCAACATGTTTATACGGAACAATACTGCTAAAATTAAATAACATTTTAAAAAACATGCTTTCAGTTTTGACCTTTTAAAGCATGAGTAAAGAGAATGTGTTTGAAGACCATCCAGAATAGCCTCCATTCTAAGACAGACATGTTTGATGGACACTTTTATTTATTTTAATGAAATTGCTTGTATTCAGTGTGTAAATATACTTGTGGAATCAAACAGAAATTGCATCCAATAGAATGTATTCTTCTACACAAGGAGAGCTTTTCCCCCGCCGTACACGGTAACTATGGTGCCAGGTGAAAAGTGATGAAGGACACAGATTGCCTGTCTGATACAATTGGCATTTTACTGGAACATTGCATGTTTAGTCACAGAACGTCCAAGATATTACAATGGTGGGAAATATCAGGAATAATTGGTAGGTTTTCAGATTGTTGGCAGTTCAGGAATTTGGTAAAGGTAACACAATAGTAATTTTGCAAGGTCTCTTGAAAGTGCCGTTTCTGCCAATGATGTATTTAAAATCCTAAAAGCAAGATTTGTACTGGAGCCTCCTGGTTTGGAATTGGGCTATCCTGTAAACAATTCTTTTTCAGGTGTTTTGGAGTTCGGTAGCTGTGTTCTTCCCCTGTCTCCTATACATTTGTTGAATATCCCATCCTGTTTCCATTACCACAGTTACTGAATTCCATATAAAACACTCTTACGCGTTCACAGATATGAATAAGCAATTGGAGAGCTGTGGTTTGAAAAGTTAAATCTGTACTTTCCTGTCAATGTGCTATTTGCTTCATGGAAAAACATTGCTCTGGCCTCCATATTAGAAGTAAAGCTGGTTTGGAAATGTATTCTGTTAAAAAGAATGTGAGCTGACCTGGTCCAGCTGGGATGAAGTTATAAGGTGTTAAGTATGTGGCTTATTTTTATAAATTCTAAAGTTGATTTGATAAAACCAAAACATTTTCTTTAAAAAAAAAAAAAAAATCAAACGTTGTTACATGTATACACTTTATAGCTGGGCAGTTTATATCCTGGCAAGACAAAATGATTTAGGTATTTATCAGTCTACGCTGTCTTTCCTGCTTTTAAAGTGACACTGTCACCTTCTGGCTGATTCTCGGGAGGGAATAGGGGACAGCCACTAGAGGAGGAGTTAACCCTGCAAGGTAATTATTGCAATTTATAAAAACTGCAATAATTACACCTGCAGGGTTAAGGGTAGTGGGAGTTGGCACCCAGACCACTCCAATGGGCAGAAGTGGTCTGGGTGCCTGGAGTGTCCCTTTAACCCCTTAAGGACACATGACGTGTAACATGTCATCATTCCCTTTTATTCCAGGGGTTAAACACTATGGATGAACTGATATTACCGGGTTTGAAGATTGCAGACCATTATCTGCTCAGTAAGCTAACTTGTTAACACAAAAATATTTATCGGTTGAAAATGAAGCACATATTATATTTAGATTAAGATTTTTTCATTTGCAAGAAATCACTACACTTTAAAAAGCCTTCGAACATATTTTTTAATATGAAGCAGAAATTACTGAGAATTCATTTTTTAGACCAGCAGACCATATATTAACCTCGTCTCATATAGTGATAAATCAGACCCCTTTAATGGCAGCGGACTTGCCAGGACCATCTTGATTTAAAGGGGAACTATGTTGTGATATTATCCTTACTTATCCTTGTATTTACCAAATCTATTTTTGTGAGCTGTGGCAAATATAATTATATTTAGAAATCCACAACTATTTGTCTTGCAACTGGATGCCACCATCGTGGGTCCCATCTTAAGGCACAGCCAGGGCACATGACTGTCTGAACTGGATAATGTATAAATGTACAAAAATATCCTCTTGTTTATTTTAATTGGTTTCCACTTATAACACATTGGTGTAAGGATAGTGTGTATATATACATTTGAACTGGATAATGATATGATTTGCTAAATTTTCGATAGGTTATTTTCAGTGTTCTCTCAAATTTCTAAAACTTGTGCTTTTAAATGAGATGCTCTGTGTTTTATTCAGTTGTGTAAATTCCAGAGAATTGACCGTTCCCCTATTAAGTGAGTTATAAAAAAAAAAAAAAAAAGTCAAACTGAATAAAGTTCACAAAGCTTGTCCTCACTGGCTAAAACCAGGCAAGAGAAACGTGGAGGAAAGAAACCTTTTAGATTATTCTGTGTATATATCCTTTGTGGCCAGAAACAGGCACTTGTATTCAGCAAATTGAAACCTCAAATAAATGCAGTCTTGTTAAAGTATATTATTACTTTCTCAAAAGACCAGTGCTGACAGTGTATAGTCCATAGTTTATTGAGAATATTCAAGAATATTACTGAGCAGACATCATTTATTTTGTTTGGACACCGTAAGTGTTTAGAAAAGGATAGTAACAAAGCATTTGACAACGAAAGCCTCTCTTCTTCGATATGGCAGAGTCCCAAAGAATCTTGGCCACTAGAGAAGGCAAACGCTTGTAATTATGC